TTATTGCGGTTCCAGGTTGGTCTGGAACCAACCTGCAATATGGCCAATGTGTGCTTGTACTAGAGTAGGTCTTTCATAAAAGCAAAGTGATGCAATGTAAACTTTTGAAAAGTGGGGTTACCATATTCAAGAATTCTAAACAAAGGAAATAGTAAAGCAACATCTGAAACAATGGGAGGGTTGCAACACTCCTAGATAGAATATACAGTCTTAAGAAACCAGCTAATCTTTCATCTTCAATGATAATGTACTGAAATTGCAACTGAAATCTGCCCTCTTGATCTTATCACTCCAATAAATTAACCACACTCTGGTAACCACAAACAATCAACAGTTTTGTAGAAAAACGCAGGCTCATTGCTCATTTGTGTTTGGGTGTATATGTGCTTTTGTGTGTAAGAGGGAAAAGAGAACAGAAAAAACTTAGTGATAAGAGTATTTACAGAAATCTGAGAACTTTTTCAAAATTGTGGTTTAAAAAAAGCATAACATAAAATTTACCACATTAAACATTTTTTAAATGTACAGTTCAGTAGTGGTGAGAATATCCACATTACTGTCTGTGAAACAGATCTACAGAATTTAGCTTCTTCATTGTATGGAACTAAAACTCGATCTCCATCAGGCAACAAATCTTCTGTTCTCCCTCTCCCCAGACCTTGGCAACCACAATTCTATTTTCTGCTTTCATGAGTTAATTTGACTACTTCAGTATCTCATTATAAATGGAATCAATCATACAGTATTTTGCCTTCTTATTACTTGCTTACTTCTCTTAGCATAATGTCCCAAGGGTTCATCTATGTTGTAGCATATATCAAAATTTTCCTCCTTTTAGAAGCTGAATAATATTCCACTATATGCATATGCCACACCTTGTTTATCCATTCATCCATCGATGAACACTGGGATTGCTTCCAGCTTTTAGTTATTGTGAATAATGTTCCTATGAACCTTAAGTGTGTAAATATCTCTTGAAGATCCTGCTTCCAATTCTCTGGATATTTACCCAGAAATGGGATTGCTGGATCATCTGGTAGTTCTATTTTTTTTTTTAGTTTATTATTATTTATTTATTGGCGGCAGCTTGTGAGATACAGGATCCTAGTTCCCTGATTGGGGATCAAACCCAGACCCGCCCTGGCAGTGAAAGTGAAAGTATTAGTCACTCAACTGTGTCCAACTCTCTGTGACCCCATGGACTGTAGCCCACCAGGATCCTCTGTCCATGGAATTCTCCAGGCAAGAACACTGGAGTGGGTTGCCATTCCCTTCTCCATGGGATCTTCCCAATCCAGGAATCGAACCTGGGTCTCCTGCATTGCAGTCAAATTCTTTACTGCAAGTCACCAGGGGAGTGGGGAGCCCCAACCACTAGACACCAGCGAAGTCCTGGCAGTACTATTTTTAATTTTTTGAGGAACCATCAGATTGTTTTTCATAGTAGCCCTGAGTTGTTTTTAAATATTTGCTCTCATACATCTCATTCATAAATGCTAGTTTTTTGAGAGAGGAGGAAAATAGGAAAGAAAAAGCGAGGCAGTGGGAGCCCCTCTCAGGCTAGAACCTCTTTCTTCACTTGAACCCCTCAGTTCCCTCACCCACAGCACAGTTTCCCTTTTTTGTTCCCTTCCCTTCTTTCCTGTCACAGGATGCCCAACCCTCCCATTCCCTTGTGGTAGGCAGAACCATGGCTCCCAAATAAAATGTCCACACAGTAATCCCTGGACCCTGCAAATGTAATGTTACATGACTAAAGGAAGTTTGCAAATGTAATTAAGGTTCCAGACCTTAAAACAGAGAAATTAGGGACTTTCCTGGTGGTCCAGTAGTTAGGACTCCGAGCTTCCCCTGCTGGTGAGAGGGGTTCAATCTCTGGTCAGGGAACTAAGATCTCACATGCCACTCACACAGCCAAAAAAGTACAAATTAAAAAAAAAAAATCAAATTGGAGAAATTATCCTGGATTATCCGGGTATGGCCCTAGAAGGGCAAGCTAGAGAGAATGCAAGCACGAAACGGATTCCACGCACTGTAGCTGCTCTAAGATGCAGAAGGTCATGCCCAAGGACTAGCAGTGGCCTCCAGGAGATAAGGACAGCTCCTGCTGACAGCCAGCAAGGAATTCAGTCTCATAACTGCAAGGAACTGAATTTTGCCAACAACCCAGGTAGAGCAGTGGTAAAGAATTTGCCTGCCAGTGCAGGAGATGCAAGGGACTCAGGTTTGATCCCCAGGTCGGGATGATATCCTGGAGGAGGAAATGGCAACTCACTCCAGTGGGTTTCCACTTCCCTTGCCTGGAAAATTCCATGGACAGAGGAGCTTGGTGGGCTACAGTCCATGGGGTCACAAAGAGTCAGACACGACTGAGCATACATGTATATAAATAAGCCCAGAGGTGGATTCTTCCCAAAGTCTCCAGAAAGGAAGGCAGCCCTGCAGAGTCCTTGATCTTAGTGCCATGAGACCCATTTTCGGCTCTAATGTACATAACTGTGTGGTAATAAAGGGGTGTTGTTTTAAGCTGCTAAATGTGTGGTGACTGCTTATGGAAGCAATAGGAAATGAATACACCCTCTCTCATACTCACCTGGGTCTCTCCCAGACCTTCAGAAAAAGTGCCGTGCCTTTGAAGTGTCAGCTGGAGGGCCAGGCCAGCTAAACCACTAATGTCAATAAACCAATGGACAAGGGCTAGACGGAGACTAAGTTTTTGGAGAGATGAAATGTTTTTTGCATCAGACTCTACTAGAAAGAACCCACCTGGCAACGCAGGTAGACATAAGAGACGTGGGTTTGATCCCTAGGTTGGGAAGATCTCCTGGAGGAGGGCATGGCAACCTACTCCACTATTCTTGCCTGGAGAATCCCATGGACAGAGGAGCCCAGTGGTGACTTCAAAGCTGGGCGTGAAATATTTATCAGTATACCACTGATGACGGTAGCCTGCTTGGCGGGCTACAGTCCTTGGAATCGCTAAGAGTTGGACCCGACTGAGTGACTAACCACACACACACACACACAACTGATGACAATAATGGGCAAATTTAAAATTAAGACATGAATTGAGTTCAAGTGATTATTTCTGATTTATATTGGAAAATTATAATCAATGACACTGAATTTAGGGCTGTATGAGTTTTGGCAGAAACCTGGATAACCCCATGGACTGAGGAGCCTGGCAGACTACTGTCCAAAGGATTGCACAGAGTCGGACATGACTGAAGTAATTAGCACGACTAGATAGCCATAAAGAAGTGCTGTTAGTAGCTCAGTTGTTTCTGATTCTGAGACCCACCCCTGGCCCACCAGGCTCCTCTGTCCATAGATACTAGGTTGCCCTTTCCTGCTCCAGGGGATCTTCCCCACCCAGGGATCGAACCAGGGTCTCCTGCATTGTGGGCAGATTCTTTACTGTCTGAGCCACCAAGGAAACGCTAGAGAGCCATAATAGCAACAGGAATTTCAGATCTGGAAAGCAGAAGATCAGCCTACTGACCAGCGATGGGGAATCGTGTGGTACCAAGCAAAGCCTCATGATGATACATCTTCTACCAACACTGAGCATACCAAAGCCTGCTCACGTCTCCCTTGTAGTTACCCTTGAAGACTCTCTGCCCCTCACTTGTAAAACATGATGCATTTTCATCATTAAAAAAGATCAGAGCACAGAAGGTGATGCATTCAAAATAGTCTTTATGTATATATTTTTTCCTTTTTTTTTCTCTAAAACAGAATCACTCTGTCCATACTATTCTGTAACTTGATTTTTTATTTATTAATATATATGTGGACACTTTCTGATATCAATATAGACAGCTGACCCACTTTTTCTCATTTTTAAGTGATGACATAAAAATGGCTACAAGTTACAAACAAATAATATCATACCCCACAGATGGCCACTCAAGCTGTCTGCGTATTTTCACTAGTACAAATGAATGTCCATCAGCCTATATTTTTCCAACCTTATGCAAGTAGTATCTGTACGACAAATACGTAGAAGTGGAATTACTGGGTTACAGGGGGTGTGCATTTAGACACTGATAGATACTGCCAAAATACGATCCCCAAAGAGCGCCAAGTTTACTCCTCCATAAGCAGAATATGAGAGTGCCTCTCAGCCCTCATCCTCTGCAACCCTGGTCTTCGTACCTTTTTTTCACGTTTACCAATACTTAGATAGAAATGATTTCTCATTGTGTTATTTACATTTCCTTATTTCTCAGTGACGTATAGCATCTTTTTGTGTATTTGTTTTGTATGCTATTTGTAATTCTTTTCATATCCTATTCATGTCCCACAAAAGCTTTTTCATCAAGTTCTCTTTTCGTATTGATTTACTCAAGCTATTTTTATGTTAATGAAATGAATCTTTTGTCAAATGTGTTGCAAATGCTTTTCCCCTGTGGGTTCCCTTCTGACTCCACTAATAGTATTGCTTGCTATCATAAATTATAAATTTGTATGTAGTTAAATAGATCGATATTTTTCTTTTAGGCTTTTGGTTTGTATTATGGTTGTAACTGCTTTTCCCACTCCAAGATTATTTTTTAAATTTACCCATATTTTGTCTCTTTCATTTCAATATTTTAGCCATGAAATTATCCATGAAATTGTTTCATGAAAGAGGAGAGATGGAATACAGATTTACCTTTTTCTTCAAATAGCTAGACATTTTCATAACATCATTTGTTAACATAAGCCTTCTCCTCTCTGATAAAAAAATGTCTTTTCTTATAATAAATTCCCAAATCACTTAATTTATTCTGTTATTGACCTCCCTACTTTGGTGTCAGTACAAATTATTTTAACTAAGTACCTTTACAATACATTTTAATATTTTCTTATTTTTAGACATCCTCTAGCTTTGAGGGCATGTTAATTTTTCACAGGAACTTTTTATCGAATTTCAAACTTTTTCTTAACATTTTGATCTTCTATATTTTGATTTGATTCAGGTAAGTTATTGTTACAAAGGCTTGATTTTTACTTACCCAGATAGATGCCATGATATCCCACCTTTCTCTTGAGTTGAGATCACATTAACCTATTAAAAGAAAAATAAAGCACTGAATGGTATAAACTTAGAATTCAGAGCACAATAATCTCAGTCTAACCCTTAGACTCAAACTCAGAAAACAGACGCCAATATTCAAAGAGAAATCATCTCAGGAAGAAGACTTGTCTCTAATATCAAGTACTCCATTTGCTAAACAAATATTTGCTGATAACTAGCTACAAGGGAAATGGCAACCCACTCCAGTGTTCTTGCCTGGAGAATCCCAGGGACGGCAGAGCCTGGTGGGCTGCCGTCTATGGGGTCACACAGGGTTAGACATGACTGAAGCGACTCAGCAGCAGCTACAAGGGACTGTGATAGACCTGTGTGTGTCTGCTTCTGTTCAGACGTGTCCAACTCTTTTGCAAGCCCAGGGAAGCCTCCCACCATCATAGGGAACAAAAAAAAACTTGTCCCTTCTTCTCCAATTTTTAACTGGCTTCAGTTTGAATCCTTGTGTTTCTCAAGTCTCCATTTACATTTTACAAGGCTCCAAGTCTACACAGCCTTTTATAAACAAACATGCTTGCTTTTTGAGGAAGGTCCATATCTTGGTAGAACCTGTAGGTATAAAGGGGTATTTCTTTGACAGAGTCCTGACTGGGAATCCAGTCACATTGTCATATGTAGACATTGTTCAAACATGCTGGCAAATATCCAGGGTTGACTTAGACATAAAAGTTGCTCCCACTCTTCCCAGGAACAAAATATTCTAAATATTCAGTGATAGCCCACAGTAAAGTTCAACAGGAAATGACACTATTAGTCCCTGGAAACATTTAGCCTCAATATTCTCAGAATCACTGATGGAAGGGCAGTTAACTCTCTAGTTATGAGAGCTAACTCTACATCCCTCTAAATATACAGTGGATTCAAAATATCATTAGTTCTGGTTTTGCCCCTTAAAGCTAGACACAATCTCTTTAAGCCTCAGTTTCCTCATTTGTAATAAGGGGGAGAGGATGGCTGCTGCTGCTACTGCTGCTAAGTCGATTCAGTCATGTCCGACTCTGTGCGACCCCAAAGATGGCAGCCCACCAGGCTCCCCCGTCCCTGGGATTCTCCAGGGAAGAACACTGCAGTGGGTTGCCATTTCCTTCTCCAATCCATGGAAGTGAAAAGTGAAAGTGAAGCCACTCAGTCATGTCCGACTCTTTGCGACCCCATGGACTGCAGCCCACCAGGCTCCTCCGTCCATGGGATTTTCCAGGCAAGAGTACTAGGGCTACTGCTGGCATTAAATGAAATTATGTGTTAATAATGTGAGCAAATGTTTTGAGTTTCTATGTTGCAGATAATACAAAAACACTATATAGTAAAAGCTAGAGATTTCAGTCATGTCTGTTCACTGGGGCACAGAAAGTACTAAAAAATGCTATGGAATGAAAAAATGATTCAATACAAGACTCACAATAATCCAGGGGAGCCAGGTATCATTTATAATATCTCCAAGTTGCAAATGAGGAAGCTGAGGCATAGAAAGGTACAGTTGGTCCCTCCATATCCGTGGTTCCAGAGTCCCTTCATATCCATGGTCCCAGGCCCTCTCCCCAACCTCATCCAGCATTTAACAAAATCTGAGGGTGCTTAAATCCCTTATACACAAGAGCACGGTACAGTCCGCTCCTGGGACGCAGGGGTTCCACATGGGCAGGTTCCGTCAACCAGAGTTCAGCTGCGAAACCCACGGAGGCTACATTCCAGCCACACAAGGAGTGAGTGGCCCCCCCTACTGAACCTAGGCAGTTACACTCCAAAGATATGTGTTTAACCCCAAGTTTCTTACTTACCTAAGTGCCCAGTCAATACACTGTCAAAGCTAATGCTCAGTACATGCTTACATGCTCAGAGGTTTCAGTCATGTATGAATTTTCGTGACCCTATGGACTATAGTCCATGGGGTTCTCCAGGCAAGAATACTGGAGTGGGTTGCCATGCCCTCCTCCAAGGAATCTTCCCGACCCAGGGATCGAACCCACATCTCCTGCACTGTAAGCAAATTCTTTACCTGTTGAGCCACCTGGGAAGCCCCAATATGAGTTGATGCAGTATAATTTGTAAATCATGAACATTTATCACAGGTTTAAGAGTGAAGAATTACTCCACAGTGGAGTCTAAAAGAACCAACAATAGAACTAAAAACACCGTTTTCTGAAAGAGGTTAGAGTGTTCACATAAATTCCTTTACTTCCTCCTTGGTGCCTATATTTCAACAAATGTCTCTATAGAACCACAGGCCTCTGGGAATGAGGCTCTGGCTCTGGTCTTCTTTGAAAATGAAAGTGAAAGTCGCTCAGTCCTATCTGACTCTATGCGACCCCATGGACTATACAGTCCACGGAATTCTCCAGGCCAGAATACTGGAGTGGGTCCTTTCCCTTCTCCAGGGGATCTTCCCAATCCAGGGATCGAACCCAGGTCTCCTGCATTGCAGGCAGATTCTTTACCAGCTGAGCCTCAAGTGAAGCCCAAGAATACTGGAGTGGATAGCCTATCCCTTCTCCAGAGGATCTTCGGGACCCAGGAATCAAACTGGGGTCTCCTGCATTGCAGGCAGATTCTTTACCAACTGAACTATTAGGGAAGCCCTCTGGTTTTCTTTACATCTTTCGATTTGTTTTCTTATCAGTCTGAAGTTTTCTGCCTTCATGAGAGCAAGTGGCATAGTTTTTATGAGTTATGATTTTCATGAAGTTGATTTTTTAAAAGTTGTGAAAGTAGCTACTCCAAAGGGCAAAATCTATGTAGAACACAAATCCTTGATAAGAATTTAGCCCGCCATATTACAACTGTCTTTTTTTATTTTTATTTATTTGAGTATAGTTGATTCACTGTGTTGTGTTAGTTTCATGTATAAAGCAAAGTGAATCGATTATACAAATATCCACTCTTTTTTTTTCCTATTCCCACACAGGCCATTGCACAGTACTAAGTAGAGTTCTCTGTGTTATACATGTCCTTATCAGTTATCTATTTTTTTAATATATAGTAGTGTGTATAGGGTGATTCCAATCTCCTAATTTATCTCTCCCTCTCCTTCCTCCCAAATGAACTTACTTAACAAAACCAAAATAAAGTCATAGATGTAGATAACAATCTTCTTATCAGCAGCCAAAGGGGCCTCCAGCAACCCTGAACCTTCCTGACCGGGGTAGGGGGGTGGGAAGCCACAATTTCCTATATATGGTCAGTTGCAATCAAGGACTCAGATACCCTGTTGACTCAAATGCCAGGGAAATGATTCACGTCCAGTGAATCAGACTACTGTAATCAAAGAAAAAGTTGAGTCTTTTGAAGGAAAAGCAAACTTCCGGGGCTCCTAACGCTCAATATCTAAATACACTTTCAACTCCTAAAAAAGTTGGGTGAAATAAAATTAATTGCCTACGTGAAGAGGAAGACTAGCTCACAAGGATGGGTGGCTTTCCAAGTGCTCAGAGCAGAGCTCAGAACTACTCCGGAGACACCAGGCACCGGAAGGGCCATTCTAACTCCCCGTTCTTTTTCTGTTCCCAAGACCTTCCGAGTTGGGGAGACCAAGATGGCCAACTGCATCCCCGCCCCGCTCGCTGTGATGAAAAGCTGGTCAGCGTGCGCCCCGCCCTGAGCAGGACCGGGTGACCCTCTCAGGGCAGGCACTTTTGCTGCCTGGGTTTTCTGAAACCGGGGCCGTGGACTCCACGCCGGCCCAGCCCCCTGGGACCCTGCATCCTGCAGCCGGGTCTGTCCGCGCCGCGGGTGCCAGCCCGGCGCTGCGCTGGCGGGAGAACCGGCCGACGCTCACCCGGGGATTCGGGCCGCAGGGCAGCGAGGGCAGCGGGAGAGGATTGCGGCTAGGCGTGGGGAGGCTGAACTTACCTAGGGAGCCGCCCCGGGAGCCGGCGTGCGGAAGAGCGGCCAGCGAGGGAGTGCGCCCCGGGAGCCGCTGCTCCGCGCTCCCTCCCGCCCTGCGGCCGGCCCCGGGACCGCACCCCTTCCTCCCGCCCCTCCGCCTCCTCCCGGCTCCACCTGCTCGCCATCGGCGGCCGGAAAAGGGAAGCCGCGCCCAGGTCCCCTGGACTGCAGTTCCCCACACGTGCGTCTTAGACCTCCCCGATGGAGTGTGGGGGCAATCTCTAAACTTTCCCACCCTCCCTGCTCATCCTCATAGTGAAACCCTGTCTTCCATTTTCACTTCTCTGTCACATTAAGTTTTTTTCAGATTTTTTGCAATGCATGTTTTGTTCCAGGCCTTGTGGATTCAAAGATGAGACAGTCCCCACGTTGCAGTGAAAAGGAAAAAGAGGAATGAGTTTTCTTTCCCTTTCCTGAGACCAAAAAAGATAAAAGAGAACAGTGAGCAGGCCTGAACATCTTTAGTTTTGGGGATTTTTTTTTCTTCTTTTTTACTTTAATTGCTCCTAACTCTGCCTATCTGCAACTTAGCTTGCTTTTCTGCCCCCTAACTATGCAGGAGCCAAATTTTGCACGTATTATCCTTTTCTTACCCTTGCAACACTTCCTTCCCCTTGTAGTTACTTATCAGAAAGAAGGACTCAGAGCCACCAAACTACCAGGCTCAATTGCTGGGTTACTGATGCCAGCCTATGAGTGTTTTTGACAAGATCCTAACACCTTTGTTCCTCATCGCTGACTCCTGTGAGCTATCATCCCCTAGACTCCTCATGGTGGGGTTGAGGGTGGGGGGCAGCCCTCTCTGCCGGCTGAGAAATAAAGCCACCTTTCTATTACCTCTAAACTCTGTCTCCATATTTTTTTGACTTCAGTGGGCAGAAAAAAAAACAAGATTTTGGTTGGCAACAATTTGGGGGACTTGTCTGGCATTTGGTGATGGGCAGGTGGCCCCACAGGGCCCTTTGGCTATGGGAACACCAGGGACTCCTTTCACAGGGCGGTGCTGGGATCACACCAACCTGCCCACCACCTTAGCTGTGGAACTCTGGGACTGTG